AGCACGAGGGAGGGGCTAATAATCGGCTCAGTCATTTTTAATGATGTTGAAAGCCCAGATCGTAATCGAGATTAAAATTCGATTAATTGAGCAGCCCTATAGTCGACTGATCTAAAAGTAAGAAAAAGATTCTAACGAGAACACAAACAAAAAGCTGGTCATAGAAATGTTACACCGAACCACGAAGAGTGTGGTTAAGCATTGCTACAATCACATACAACTGCTCATTTCAAAGCTTTGCTTGTTAACGTTGTAGGAGCAGCAACCTGAGTCACACATATCCTACTACACACTAAGTAACACAACCCTCCGGACATGTTCAACCATTAAACCGTTAGATCTCCAGCCGTTACTGTTACCACAGTGTCAGACGTTTTAATATTAGCTGAAATACTTTGCTGTGTATAAATGGAACAAGCTACAATATTTTAAGTCTGTCTGCAACTACTCATGTTTTCTTCATTTGTTACGTATAATGTGTCATTTTAATGTGTAGCAGTCCATCTTAATGTTTGTACTTTGTGTTTTAAGTTAAACACACAGGTGTCAATGACACAATCAGGTGTCGTCATGTGTCACAAAAGAGGTAATAAAATGCAACGTGTTTCAACATTAGATCCATATATCAGTGTAAGTTGAGTAAATATGGAAATTTAAGGTTATGGAAGTTGCATTTTTAATAAGCCCATGATGCACAGTTATTTATTATTAGAAGAAACTAACACAGTAAAGTAGCTACAGATTGTTATTTGCAATTATATCCTAATGCTGGACTAAAAAAAGCTTGTAAAGGGGTTTAGCTGCATCACTACTCAGCATGTTGTACAGCAGCAGCACAGGTGCAGGTCACTGACAGCAGCAATGGCAACAGTACAGCCCTCAGATATGCAATTTATCTCCCTCCATAAATTCAACACCATGTATTTATGGAGGGAGGTGCACAGGATGTTTTAAACAGCCGTATTCCTCACTATGGTTCAACCCTTCTGTCTGTGTTGGGAGAAACTGTTTACTGGAAACGATGGCTTACAAAGGGAAAACACAATGCAGGTGATTTATGTGCAGAAGTCCTGGTTAGAACTAGAGGAAAATAAGATGGTGCACAGACTTTACTTTATTGCATCCAGGTTTCATAGAATGGATCTACTGACCAATAACATATGCTGGAAATGTCAAGCAGAACCAGAAAGCTTTATGCAATCTGGGACTCTAGATGCATTTTCCCATTTTGGAAAATAGCATTACAACGTTACAACAGTGTCACCAGGAATATGCCTGTTGGGGGACCAACAGTAACACCTAATATTTCCAAACCAGAGTACAGTGATACAGGTACAAGGCTGACTGCGATTCATATGAACATGTGCTGCTGGCCACGCTCACTAACAGGGACGATCTGACGCCATGAAGCAACGCAGATTCTGAGAAACACTTTATTTTGTTTGTCACGGTTTTGTTCCCTCTGAGGACGTAAAAACATAAAGCTTTTCTTTTATATTATTATTTTGGTATATGTGCTGACCTGGCTGCAAAAGGAAACAGTCGCCTTATACACATCATGTATAAACTCAAAATGCACATTTCACTTAAAAATTAAGATGTGAACAAATCAACCTGTCAGATATTCTTCTCCTGTTGAAAAACAAAAAAGAAATAAATAAGTCTTCTCATCAGATATTGATGCTTCTTTCCTGTGTGACAAGAAATAGGAGACACATATTTGTTTTTTAAGTTAATTCCCAATAAAGCTGTTTTATTGATAACTACATTACTGCCTGTGTTATTGCTGAAGTCCTAAAGATCACCTTTAAAGTTGTGGAATTGAACAAATTATTTTACTGCTACAATATAATATACAGCATTAACATTGCCTTAACAATATAACAGACTGCTTCAAAAGGGCCTTAAGATGTTTAAACAGACAGGCACCATATTAACCTTTATTCCAGGTGCAGTTATAACCATTTTATACACACAGTTTGTGCTTTTTAAGTTGAAGCTCAGTCAGTTAATTGAAGGTCAGAAGCTTCGTCAAACACATTTTGAATGAACGCCGGGGAACTTTGGTAGCACAGAAACAAGAGACTATTCTTTGTGACCATATGGATCCCTCATATTACCATTATTTCACACAAAGGCACCAAGTTAATACTTTAAAAAGCTGCAGCAATACACACAAATATAAACAGTACTTGGTGACAGCTTTGCTTTTAGCCTCTAACCCTCTGGTGTCCAGGGTTTAACTGGCTGTTTCTGACTACGTTTGATTTGTTCTCTATATTTCACATTTAAAAACTGTTTATCTTGCCAATTTGTTATTTACTCATTTTGACAAACTGTAAATATGTAAATATTGTGCTTAAAACATGAGTAGAAAGTGATATTTTTGACTGTAAAAACCACAAACATTTTAAGGAATCTTTTTCATAACTTAAAATGCAAATAGAAATTTTACATTTTTAAAAAATATGCACAAGTTTTGCAAACAACAAAGTTATATGGTACAATCAGCTGTTCTGCATCAAAGAAGAAGGAACACAAATTATTTATGCAACTCCAAAAAATAGTTTGTGTCACTCTGACACAGAGGAGAACAGCACAGGGACAAACCTGCAGGTCTGACAGCAGCTGTGTCACTCAGCGTTTACACTGCAACCTGCCTTTGGTGGCTTTAAGGCAGCAACTGTGACGTTCACTAGTAGAACTGACGCACAAAACAAAACAACGACTACACACTAACTACACAAGACAACACACTAACTTGAGACTCCAAACACGGCAAACGTCACAAATCTCTCAGTATCAAAACTCTCTCTCTCTTCCGCTCACTCGCTCTCTCTCACTCCTAAAACTTCCCCCTCTTCCCAAACAACCAGATGCCATATCATTTTTTGATTGGTCGACATGGTACATTTTTCCACCAATAGAGAAGGAGTGTTTTTTCTTTTTTCACTCACAAGCAAAGCGTGTTTGCTAGCGCTCTCCTTAGAAAACGCCGTTTTTACCATTTCTTCCGGAGTAAACGCCGCTGTTTTATTCAGAAAAAACAAACAAACAAACATCGGTTTTACGTGGCCTATCAACACAATTTAAACACTGGTACATAGTGGTGTAGTCCGAAGACCCAAGCTGAAATGGAGACTCTGGGTCCGTCGACCCCAGAGGGTTAATCAGAAAGCCTAAGTTAGCTAGTTATGCATCGGGCTAATGTTAAGTAATGTTAGCTAAGCGCTGCCATACTGCATCACACTCAGTGCATTTCAATCATTTCTCCAGCGAGTTTGATAGATAGCAAAATAATAATCATAATTTAAAAAAATAGCGTGTGTAACGTACACGTACTGGAAAATTATTTACTAGGACTCACCTATCATGCGACTGTCGTTTTCCATCAAACACTCATTAAAACAGCGACCTACAGGTATGTTAGCGCACTCATCCCCGACTGTCCGAGGGAGGGGCGGGGTCACACGGTGAAACAGACGCAAGGCAGCCAGGCGGGGAAATTTTGCTTTTTTACATTTTGCGACTCCTTTTATTTCTCTGATAAGAAAACTATTCCATCAGATATTTGTGGTGAATGAAATACAGTTACACTTTCAAGCACTTTTAAGCACCACATCTGAAATTCAAGCACTTTTCAGATCCTTGAAAATCCAATTCTGCATTTTCAAGGATTTCAAGCACCCGTACGAACCCTGTCAAAGCCATTCCCAAACACCAGTAATGAGAGAAACCAGTGGTGAATAATGTGAAATGCTTCG